CACTTTAAATAATCAAAAATCTCCCTTTGGGATTTCAAAACAGAAAGAGTGCTTGTTCCACAAGCTTTGTGGGCCWAAAAGAAACATTTTTTGTGCTCTGTATCCAGTTATTGTAATCACCCATCACAAAACAAGAAAAACTGAATAAATGCCAACACTGGTAAGCAAACCTACTGAAACATAAACCTAAACTTTAAAACCCTCTTTAGTAGATATCTGTGCTAAACACACAACCTGCTTTATCAGATTTTTATAAGAATCTAATCACTAAAGCAACTTTCATTTTAAAAGGTGTGTGGACCCAGTTATTACTTTAAAACAACGTGAAACATTTAAAACATTACAGATTTTGATTTAACACAGGATATCTGGGGTAACAAAGTTGAGATGACACTAACAATTGCTTTGAATATTAAAGACCACGTCACATTGCAGGTTTGGTTTGAAGTTTTAAATATGTGTTTTATCTGTGTTTTTATAAAAACCCGTTGAAACTCTGATAATCTCACCATCAGGACTTCATTTTGATGTGATAACTTTCAGAAGCGGCAGGTCATTAAGTATAAAAACATCCAACGGCACCTTTTCTTACATCACCACTCAACTCCCCCCCCCTTCATCAGTTATCTATTGTAACACAAGGCAAGTGAGATTTATGGTGTCCCGGCACTCTGAGCTCAGTTTGGACTGAAAATAAACTTTTGGTTCAGCTCTGCATATTTCGCAGGGATGGGAAAGCCAARGCAGGGGAGGTATGAGGCGAGCCTGGGCAGGCAGACGATACACATGGTTTGTTTCTGCATGTCTGCAGCAGTCTGAGGGTAAAATAATACCAGCGGGATCTTTACTGTTCAGCAGCATGCAGCCATGTTTGACCTGGACACAACTTTGTTACCGACCGTAAGCTGTTAGCGGTGCTTGTTGCTGTGAGAATCTGTATTCAAATTACAGAAATCAAAAGCTAATTTATCATTAGTTGTTTTTCTCACATTGTAGAATTAATCTGCAGTAGAAAAAAAGCAACCTCTTGAAARATGATTCTACAAGCTTCAGTTGCAAAAGGTTGGCCAAGTTCCTGAAAAATGTCTCCGTAATCACACGGACGATGGAAAACCAGCATGGTGTGACTACAAAGTGACATAACACCCTGGCATAATTTTTTATAAAGATAACATCTTTTCCTCTTACATTGGGATTATAAGACCAACTGAACACTTGAACGGAAATAAAATTAATTTGCTGTATGATTTTGAGGCTTTTCAGTACATGATGACRGCCTGGAAGAATTAAATAAAACAAAGTTGATCAATTCAAACATCCCAAACGTTCACAGACGACTCCCGATTATTTTAAAATGGATTTTTTTCCGACTTTTGCACCTGTAAGAAAAACTGAAAGCAGAGCGTTTTAATAACTTAAGATCAAATTTAGTTATGTTTTTCATTGCCTGTTATTCACTTCATATTTAACTCTTTACCTTCAACCGGTAACTGGGTGTCTCTGCATCACAGTCACAAAGCAAATAGTTCTAATTATATGCTGGTGCAAAGACACCTGTCCAGTTCAGCAGGTGTGAGCAATTTGTACTTTTTTTTAGCGACAGACCACAGCAGATCTCTGTTGTACTGCAGCACAATTGAAATATGTCCATTCAGCACAAAAAAATCAGGCACAAAAGTGGCAAAGCAAAAAATGCCAGTTTCATGTTTAAGAAATTTATACAAGTCAAAAGAAAATCTTATTTGTTGTTTTTATTTATTTCATAGTGTTGCAACTGCATTGCTGTCTTTTTGATTAGATCAAGTCAGAGGGGCTGTAGGCCTATAAGGAGAAACCTTGTTTTAAAAAAAAGAAATGTGTTTTTAAAGCCATTGTGTAATGTTTAAGTTCTAACTGGGTAAGTAGTTGGTATCAGCGAGTACCCAAACTACAGTACTTGTACTTCTTACTTACTTGTCTGTTCTTCTCACTCAGTTTGAGACAAACTGGTATCAGGACGACCCTACTTGAACGTATGTTGAGAAAATGGTAATGATGTCAAAACATTTATTGTACACATTCGAGACATGATTGACACTGAATACATCTAATTACTGTACATTGAAGGAAGAACAAAATGAACACTTTTAGCAACAACAATGGTTTATTAAAAGAACACAGCAAATGACAAATTGCGAAGAGAGTGTGAATGTAGAGACTCAGAGGATTTTCCGGCCCAAGTTCAGAACTGGCTCATCAGCTCCTTTAGGTTCCCAAGGCCAATCAAGTTCTTGCTCAGAGCTGTGGTCAGTATTTAAGCACGACAGAGTGAGAAGCTGCGTACTCTCTGTACCCATCCAGCTGCTGAGCAGAGTTGGGTTCCCCGCAACAGGAGGATTTTAGAGGGAGCTAGCAGACCAAGTGGGACCAATCTGCCCTGAGCCACGACATGCTTGTGTGACTGAGTTATTCTCAGGTAGACCGAATTCCCAAACAATGCAGCTGAACAGACCAATATTAAAGCCCAATTTGCAGCGAGAGATGATTTTCCTAATTTGAATGGAGATACTGGGGCACTTCTTGGTGACTAAATGTATTTTATTGTCCTAATATTAATTCTTCTGTTGCACACTGAGCCCCCAAACATCAGCCTGTCTCTATGGTGTCACTACAAGGCTCGAGTGAGAGACTTCACATTCTTGGCTGGTTAAAGTACAATTTCAGAGAGTTCTACCAAGTTCCCTGGAGCCTCAGTGTTTACAGCAATGTTGATATGTGCCATGTTTAAAAAGTCTCAGTCCCACTCTCTCCCTGGCCCACTTCTGTTTTCACTTAGTGTGTGTATTAACAAACATATTRACAAAGGAGAGTCTGGTTTGGCACTTAACAATATAACTACTGTCAGGTCTAATATGATCTGTTTTCAGCGTAGACATGCTTTTGATTGAGCAGAGAGGAGAATCGTGCCATTTTTGTTTTTATTTATACACAGGATTTTAATGGAGGCATGAGTCACACAGTAGGTGGTGTTTAGTATACCCTCGTACACAATTCCACATTGATTGGGATGTATAAAAGAGATGTGCTTTAATTGATGCGTACGCACTGTTTTATACATCTGGATTTGATTATGTGTGTCTTGAGACAAGTTAAATGCACAATTATAGAAAGAATATTTGATTTAAACAAATAAAATAAATAAAGAACGCTATTTTCTTGTAACTCTGTGTCACCTGACTACAAAAAGTGAGCAAGCCAAACATGATAATCCACATGACCAGAAACTAAAACTTGAATCTAAAAAGTTCACCTTGAGGCTAAATTCCCTGAGCAGAAATAAAACGACGCAGATATCACCAGGAATTCAATCCAGCTAAGAAACTGTCGCCCCAAGTCACCTATCCTGATCTGGTTTTCCTCTTTAAGCTTGTGTTAATCCGTTTGTACTCATTTGTTCAGCTGAGTCAGACAGGAATTCATCTTGTTACACTCTTCCCATGTTTCTGTGCGTGTCGCAGCCAGAGGAACTCATCCACTCCTTGTAAGGTCCGAGGCAGGTTGAGACACAGTTTTGAGTCAGTGTGGAGTTCGTGCAACATGTGAAACAACACCCCTGTGATCTCCATTACACAAAGACTGTATGAGTCCTGAGGTTACAGTGGAAGTGCACGCCATCATTCCCAGCACACTTATCACTCTCCACCACAGACAGCAAGTTACCTCTAGACTTGATATATTAGTGCTGTTTTAGTTTTTTATTACAATAGTCGTAATGATTCAGTGTCAGGATCACCAAATGAGGTACCAACTTCCTGTGAGCAGGTCAGCAAAGGGATGAATGGATGGATTTTTTATTGTAGGTGATTAATTTAACTTGTTTTTGTCTATTTACCACTATATCTAAAATTTACAGTTTTGAGTTTTACAAGTTTTATTTGCAGGGGGCGCCGCAGTGAGAAAACTCGCATTAAAGACTTGCAATTGTTTTATAACGGATGCCATTTCTGACGCAACTTGGGCTCAAACCTAAAGCAAGAATACAAGACCACGACACTGACCACCAAGCAACCTGCAGTTGTTTTTGTGACACAATCTAAATATGCCCTTCAGCCACAAACACAGCAGGAAAAAAAGCAACAGACAGAAATAGAAATAGTTTTTTTTTAACTCTTTGAAGCTACACGAACAAAATCTTGCTGTATCAYGCTCAGGACGACCTTTCTAAATCAGTTTTGAGCATCCTTTTATTTCTACTTAATAAAACGTTTATAGACAGAGGCAACAGCACATCACAGAAAAACACAATGAATTATATTTTCTTGTCATGCCTGCCCTCGTTTTTGTGAAGGTAGAAGTGCAGCAGAACGCTCCCCATCCTCTGCTTCCTCTCCTGAGACACAGAAACTCCCAGCACCCAGAGGAGTAAATAATTAACTCAAGCTGTGTCTGACTGACTTTAAGAATAAGACATTTTTTGGTCCTGGCTAGAGTTAACATAAATATGGGCATTTTTTTTCTTCTAAAGGCTGCTTAATAATTCACTTAAATGTGGGCGAGCTGCGTCAGTGTTGTTGGCAGGACAGTTTGAGGAACACATCTCTCTTTGTGAGGACTTTCTGAGCTAGACAGATGTGAGAAACCATAGTTCGAGCCCACAAAAGACGCATAATCCTTTGATGCATCCAAGCCTTTGGGTGTTCTTGAGTGTTGGTATAACCTATATGACGAAAAACAAAAGTTGGGAAGCAGCTTTACTTGTGGGGTCCTGCTTTCTTTGCACCACGATGTTGGACCTCAAAAGGTAAACCTAAAAGTATCTTTTCGGGGTAAAAACTTGGCCTTGTGGGTTTTGAGGAGGCTTAAATCAGGATTGAGCAGTTAGGTGTGATGTTCAGGGAGAGGGAATACATAATGTCAACAATGGGGACTTCAAAAAAGACAAACACCAGTGTGTGTGCGTGCGTGCGTGCGTGCGTGCGTGTGTGTGTGTGCAATAAGCAACAAAAGTCAGGAATCCTTACCTACTCTGAAGTTGGGGGCTGTCAGCGTGTCTGTGGTGTGGCCGTTCTCACTGATGATGGTGGTGGTGTTCCCCTTCTCACAGTTGTTGTGGCATCTGCTTCCTATGCAGGTCACTTTGCAAATAGTGGGTGTGAAGACCACCTTGATCCTTCCTGTATGATTACCGACTGCTGCCGAAAATATGGCGAAGGAAACGAGGGAGAGGGAAAGCAGAAGAGGTCTGGTTATTCTTTGATCCATTGGAAGTTAAATTACCTTCAGGCTGAAGCTTGCCACGCTGATCTAACGAGGCTCCAGTCAAAACATTCAAAAAAAAAAAAGCTACTGTGTAATTTTCAATTCTTAAAAAACTTAAGGATGTGGATCCTTTTTCAAACTATGTCTGCCTATCTGTTCTTCCTCCCTCTCTGCCTCTCCTAAATCCGACGGCGCCTGTGAAATGTGAGCGAGAAGAAATGGGGAGAGAAAAAAAAGAACGTGGGAGAGGTTAGCAAACAAAACTCTGGGATTTTGTCCAATTCTTCATCAGACGTCTATAAGAAGTGGATATCGAGCTTCTTTTCAAAACAGACCAACAGGATACGCAAACTTTAGCTTCTGTGCTCATTTTTCTTGCTTCTCAGATTTCATTTTCCTCTAAATTTTGACTTGAGGTTTGCCCAGCTTTGCTCAGAACGTCGGCACCTCACATTAAGACATAGTCTCCTAGGAATTCCTTGCCAAAGCCAGGATTAAGACTCTTAAAAAGTTGCTTCTGGAAGGATAGTAAAACCAAAAGTTTAWCTTGTCTTCTCCCTGTATGCACCGTCTTCTTTTCCCTACTGTCAGTACAAACTGACAGCAAGAAAAGATGACTAAAGAATCAAACTCTGGCAATGATACAGAATCCTGTCTACCTCCAAGTGCGCACTACTTATATCTCACATTCCACTCTTGTTGAACTCTCTTAATTTTTTTTCACCTCTCAGATCAGGTAAYATCTGTCGTTGCTGTCCTAATTCTTGGCGTCCCTGTGTTGGGTCCAAACCCCTGTCTCCAGGGCTCAGTGCTCCGTCTGTGGTTGTCAGCTGTTCATCCAGACTCATGGAGCAAAGCCAAGCAGCCAGAGGAATGTTTTCTAAACCTCAAAGGCAGGAAAAAAACCCTCTGAATAACACGCCCCAAGCTACCTCAACATTCACTAATAGGTGCAAAGACTTACTAATAAAGAAGGACCAAATATGTTGTCGTGGTTGTAACATGCTGCCAACAGAGAGCAGTTTTGAATCTAGACATCCCAGATTTGAAGTCTAAACATAGTTAGCCTATTTCCCTTTGGTGCTTTTATTATTTTTTTCTTTTTCTTAAAAGAAAGAAACATTGGGCCTCATGCAAGAACCGTTCGAATGCACAGATTTGTTCTTAAGTTGTGCGTACGAG